CCTACAGTTTTATGGGGTTTGGATTCAGTGTTCTAGTCCAGTCCAGAGCCACCTCTGATGTGATGGAGCCTTTCAATGGGATTTTGTGGCCACTGGTTCCAGGCAATAACAGGTTTTGTGGGCCATCCCATTAATGCCCTCCTCACTAGGGACTAGAAACTACATACCATTATATGGTCCAGAGAGCAGATGGAGACTCCTAGAACTGCCACTCTCTGAGGTGCTCCGCTTCTCATAGCTCCAGTACACAGAGGACATGGAGAGGAAATCTGGATGCTGACACTTCATGGTATAGGGATGAATCTGAAATCAAATGACTGAAGACAGCAAACTCTTGTTTTGCAATACACCGCATTTTAGTTACCTCTTAGTGAAGTTAAATGCATGTTGACCTGAAACAGGTGCACACTTAAGTAAATACACTAAAGCTGTCAAAAAGAAAAATGTCCTGTAAGCACACAAGGCAAACAGATACTCACCAGCAGTAAAAATTATAATAAAGGAGTTTTTTAAATGTATCTGGTAAGAAGAAATAAGAAGTAAAGCACCTATAATGTGTTCCTTTCTTAAACTTTGTCAAGTATTTCCAGAGAGTGTTCCTGATTCTGGGATTGTTACATTGTCTTAGGTCATAGACCTTCATATAGGCTTCTCTGTACTATTTAAACCTAAATAAGTGAATGTTTAGGCCACATGCAGCATTCAGATGCAGGTAAACAACTTCCTGTGTATTCAAGGTGAGTCATTTATATAGTAAAACTCATCCCTGATTAAGTTATCTTTACATCGATTAGCATCAGGAATATTTTTCTTTAATCCATGATCCCTGAGAAAAGAGAATATTGGGGCCTGAAGTACTCCTCTTTATGTTTGTCTTATTATCAGCAGAATATAATTGATTAAGCTTCCTCCCTCCATCCTTTTTTCCTAGGCTACTGGATCTCAGATAGGAATGATTGTCAACTCCTTTGCCAACATTGGAGTGGCCATTGTCATCGCTTTCTATTTCAGCTGGAAACTAAGTCTTGTTATACTTTGCTTCCTGCCCTTTTTAGCCTTATCTGGGGCTATCCAGGCTAAAATGCTGACAGGATTTGCTTCTCAAGACAAGCAAGCTCTGGAAGCTACTGGGCAGGTAATATGTTTTTTTAAATGCTAAGACAGAGGATCATATGCCACACAAGTTATCAAGTCATGTTCACTCTTGCTCACACTCTCTCTAACTTTGGTCTAGTGACTGTGTTGTTATTCCATGCAAATAGGGACAGCTTCAACAGGAAGATGTGAACATGCCCCATTCCAGACTATTTTATGGCTGTCTCCTACAGTTATGCTGTCCTGGGAGATGTGGGTTCAAATCCTAACTGGCAGAAGAGGGAATAGAACTACATCTTCCACATCCTCTGTGAATCTTTCAGCAACTAGGAGTTGTCAGTCACTACAACATCTACCACAGCCACCCTTTGAATGAAGTCAAACTATCCCTGCTTTGTTTTCTGTAAGCAAGTGCTTAGATACAAGAAACTGTTCAGGACTGTGAATCCTGAGTGGAGGGAAGATTCTCCCAGGGGTAAAGGCACCTAAGTGGGTCAGATTTAAGAAACACCCTCATGGTATTTCTTACTGTATAGATTAGGCAGTGTGATGGCCTTTTGTGGAACCTGGTCTTAAGTGCTGAACTCTACTATAGGGAATCTAGGCACCTAGCTAGGATTAGTAACTAGGCATCTTAAGTTGCAATGCTCTGTGTTCAATTGCCTAAGTTCCCCTATGTGAATCTAGCCCTGGGTGAACAGTCTGAGAATGAACATGACCTAAACCATTCAGAGAAGTTTAAAAGATGAAGACAAAATTCAGCTGATCAAATCCATCCCTCTGAAATGCAGAATGAATGGTATATATCCCTTAAAGAAGAATTTTAACAACGCTGTGGCTCAAAGATATTAATGTTGTTTTGACCCAACAACTCCCATCTGGAAATACAGAAAAAGCACTAATTTTTAAAAACAATGGTACATTGGGAAAGGACACTCTCTTTTCCCAGAAGCTGAGATAATGCAGGATGTATCCTGTGGAATAGTGCTGGGGGAAGATCCTATTGGGCAATTTTCAGTAGTAAGGAGGACAAAACTCCCAATCCATTCTAGTTCCAGGAAGGATCTTACACACATGCCATGGCCAGATGTATAAACCAGAGATTAGCTTGCTCTTTTCCCCTGTCCTTATAGCTACATGAGCAATAATAAACTAAAGAGGACTGAGTTCTGTTGCATGCTTTCTTCTCTCTGTTATTCCCTGGGCAATTCCTCAGTGTCCTACCATGAGTTTTCTAGTGGCTTTTTTCCTTTTTAGTTTGGGTATTGGCTCATGTGGGAACTCATATATGCCTTTATGCATAGAACAGATATATTCTGTTGGCCTTGGCCTTATTAATAATCATTTTAAGTGACTGCATGCTCCTGTTGTGCTGACATGTGATATTCTATTAATTCTTAAAGTTTTTGCTGAAGCAACACTAGCCAGATTGGTGCTGTTGGCTGTGTGGGCTACTGAAAACTTGAAGGATAAAATATAATGAAAGCCAGCATTATTTCTATTTGGGAAAAGGGAGGATTAGACTATAGAAAATACTGACTTGCACACTGGAATACTAACAGAGTCCACCATCTAGCATAGAGGGATTTAAAGTTTAAATAAACTAAAACTTAATGAGAGCTAATTTAAATTATCTAGGCATATTAATATAATTATACTAAATCTACAAAAAAGCATATTACTTGAATTAATACCCCAGGATTAATGATGTCACTAATTAAACAAAGATGGATTTCAACTCCTGAAAGTGAAAAAAAGAATGGCACTCACAGCTGATCATTCAGCCAGAATGGCTAAATTATTTATAGCAAGTGATAGATCAAAGTATCTTCTTGGAATTGAAAAACAAATTTCACCACAAAAATCTGATAAATGACCAGGCCAACAGTTTCCACGCAGTGGAATGACCCAGAGGCCAGGGGAAAAAAATATCACTGAATACTTCAGCAGTTTTTGCAATGTGTGACTCTGATCAGTGGTATTTTCTAATTTATTCACAAGCATACCATCCAATACAAAAAGTTCTCTTTAAGAAGATTCCATCATGATTCTTTATCTGCCATTTTAAATATAGGAAAATATAGTTTGAATACTTCAGTTTGCTGGCACTGTTCTTCCAAATGCATGCCAATTGCCTGGGCTAATGTTACTTACTTGTCTGGGAAAAATCACGGGCTATTGACCCAAATAGTTTTCAGAGATTCCTATGCAGGTTCTGTGATATACTGTGTGCAGGACATCCACAGGTCATAAACCAAAATGTAATAAGAATAGATCATAGAAAGGACAGTATATAAGAGAAAATGCACATACTGAGCTTTGATAGTAAGTCATTGAATAGGTGAGTTGCAAGCACATTAAAATTTAGTAGTAAATTCAGCTTTTCTATTTTGGAAAAGGTATAGACTTTAAAGATACAGAACTATAAACTAACATACTACACTTCCCCAAGATCATTTGTGTAATAATTAAAATAAGAATATTTAAAAATAAATAGGCAATCAAGAAAATGTTTTCACTTTTGATTGATACCAACATTCCTAAAGAAGGTTTAAAATATTTATGAGTTTCTCTGGTTAGCATTGATGACAAAAAATGTCTTTAAGAAGCCCCTGTTCAGATGCATTTAGCTATGTATTTCACAGCTCCATACATCCTATGTTGAGAAGGATACAGCTCTCATGGTACGATACAATGAACATAGTCAGCAGAGAAATTCAAGGCAAGCATGGTGAGAACAGCTGAAATTCTGCCAGGGTGAGCACAACACATGCTCTTATCAAGGGATAATGGTACCAGTTGCTCATACAGTGTGAAATTCAGGTGAGAGGGACCACAGAAGGCTCTCCTCGTTGTGGATATTTGCGGCAGTCTAGTCCAAGTGGAGCAGAGACAGCAGCCATGTTGAGGTTTTCTTCAGAAAAGATTCTTATATTATGGGCTAAGGCTTGTGCAGTGATTATTGGATCTGAATCCATTTTGTATATTATTAGTGTCTACAGTTGACCCAAATAATCATGCTGCCTTCTCTTTCTAGCAGTCAGTCAGAAAGGTTTTCCTGCCATTTCAGATGGATTGTTAGGAGTTTTTACTTATCTTTTTTTTTTTCTTTTCAGATTTCCAGTGAAACCCTCTCTAATATCAGGACTGTAGCTGGAATAGGAAAGGAGAAAATGTTTATTAAAGCATATGAAGAACAGCTTGAAAAGCCTTATAGAGCTTCAATCAAAAAGGCAAACGTTTACGGAATTTGCTTTGGCTTTTCCCAGTGCATAGTGTTCATAGCCAATTCTGTCTCATATAGATATGGGGGGTTTTTAGTTGAGAGTGAAGGACTTCACTATAGCTACGTTTTCAGGTAAGACTATACTCAGAGACTGAAACATACTATTGTTACAGAAATGTGCTGTTTTCATGGAAATTCACAAGTAATATATCAGCCCACAAGGTCAAAACTTTTTTCCTTCACTGCAGGGTGATCTCTTCTATTGTAACCAGTGGAACTGCTTTAGGAAGAGCTTCTTCCTATACTCCAAACTATGCTAAAGCAAAAATATCTGCTGCACGGTTTTTTCAACTGGTGGATCGTGTTCCTCTAATCAGTGTTTACAGTGACAAAGGGGAAAAGTGGGTAAGATTTGAGAGGAGCAATCTGAGAAATGTTATTCAGTCCAACAATAAGAACCGAAACCCAAAAACACCATGTTCACCACTGTTTTAGGGCAATATCATGTTTGAAGACTTGCTATGTTTGCTTGTCTTTCTGGTAGTGCTGAGCTCTGTGCTATACTGTAAGCATGATTCCTATAGTAATAGGAAACTCCTCATCTATTATAAGATTCTATTATAAATCCTTCTCCTATGAAGCAATATCAACAAATGGTAAATGATTGATTTGAAAATAAGGAAATGTGTGACTCAAAGGTAGTATATTTCACATCTACAATTTGTACTTTAGAGTTAGTATAATCGAAATATGATTATAATTTCATTAAAATAAAATGAATAATAAATATGACTTTGGTTTGTTGGCAATTTCAACAAATTGGGTGGAAAATCATATTGTTTTATACTGAAAATAAATTTTGGTGAGTGGAAAAATTTAAAAAAATCATTTCAAGCTGAAGTAAACATTTTGCTTAAGAAATTAAGAAAATTCTGAAATAAAAATGTCATTCAGACTAAAATGTTTAATGCTTTTATCCTAAAAGGTAAAATGAAATTCTTCATTTTTTTTCTGGAATGTTTAGGGTTTTTTCCTATAAATTAGCAAAATTAAGCTAACATAAAAAATATGTTGTTGCTGAATGCAGTTTTTTTGTTCATTTGGCTTTTTTTGCTAAAAGCCTTTGTGTGAAATATATTACCCTCTGCTAAATTAGATGGCTATTCTCTGTAAGCATTATAAACTATAAACAAAATTGATACTACATGACATCTATTTTGAAAATTAAAACTGTTGAGTGGAGACAGGAGATTAACTACTGTGACAGTTCACTAAGGTATCACTTTTCAAATTGTAGCAATTTGTCAGTACTGAGTGGGGAAGCTACTGATAGAACAAATACAGGTACATGGTTATAGCTAAAACCCCACTTTCCACTACAGTCAGTCCAGTCAATCTTTGGAATCCTCAGCCTCCAGAATTGTTTCATAAGGACCCTGACTTGATTGACAGCAATATTACCAATAATATTAATATAAGAAATGAGAATCACTCTGTGACAGGGGGCCTCCTGGGGCCGAACTCTGTGGCCCGCCCACCTGTCACTGTGACAGGAGGCCTACTCAGGGCCGAGCTCTTCGTGGCCCGCCCACCTGTCTCTGGGCAACCGCCCGCTTATCTCGCCCGCCACGCCTTTGATGATAATCAGTTCAATTAGGTTGTTCACTAAGCGGGAGGCTGCCCTTCGTACTGCCCCGATGCCAAGGGGCGCTCTGCGGCTCCGACCTCCCCTAATACCGCAGCA